GTTTTCCAGTAATGTACCAGTGTGTGTCTGCTATTCATAATGTTTTCCCTGGCCAATTTTTTGAGAAGTGGATGGCTTTTCCTTCTTCCGAGTCTGTCTCAATCTGTATGCTGCGTTGAAACTTGTGCACCATGTGCAACCCTGCTGGCATCTGAAACACTGGAGGCAAAGCCTCCAGCCTCACAGCAACACACAAGCCACCAAAGTATGACAAATTGACGGACAAGTTCATTTCCCTTAGCTGTTCCCCTTGCTTGGATCCTGCTGTCATCAGCCCTAGCTTTCTCTCCTTCCTCCCCTTGCCTGGATCCTGCTACCATCAACCCTGGCATTACCCCCTTCCTGCCTTTGGGTAGGGGCTGTGCCCTCTTTTCCTGAATCCTGCTTCCTTCAGCCCTGGTTTTCCCTTCTTCCTTATAAAATATTTTACAGTTTTGTATGAGTAAGTCTTACAAATCTTTCATTAGATTTATTCCGAGGTGTCTGATATGTTTTTGATGCTATGATAGCATAGTGCCTAAGGCATCTGACTGCTAACCAGAAGGTTGGAGGTTCAAACCCACAAACCACTCCTCGGAAGGAAGATGGGGCAATCTACTTCTGTAGTGATACTGCCTCGGAAACCCAAGGAGGGGTCACTATGAGTCAGGGCCGACTCGACGGCACATAACAACAACAACAACAATTATAAATGGAAGCTTTTTATTTCATTTTCTAACTCTTCATAAAACTTTTCTTACTTTAGGATATTAACCTTTGGAGCCAACAAATGTGCTAAAGTCACTACCAAATCTAACAATTTATCTGTAGATTTTTGGGGAGCATTTTATTAAAACAATTATGTTGTCTTAGAATAAAAAATAATAAAACCAAAATGAATGTCAGAAGAGACTTTGAAACTTGTTCTTGAACAGAGAGAACTTAAAGCAAATGGAAGACATGACAAAGAGCTGAACAGAAGATTTCAAAGGGCAGCTCGAGCAGACAAAGCCAATTACCATAATGAAATGTGCAAAGACCTGGAGTTAGAAAACCAAAAGGGAGAATATGCCCAACATTTCTTAAGCTGAAAGAACTGAAGAAAAAATTCAAGGCTTGGGTTCCAATATTGAAAGATTCTATGGGCAAAATAATGAATGATGCAGGCAACATCAAAAGAAGATGGAAGGAATACACAAGAGTCACTTACAAAAATGGAATTAACAGAATACCCATTGATATGTTTCAACAAATGGGTGCTGCAAGAGGCACTTACTCATCTACACCAAGATATTTGGAAGACAGCCACCTGGTCAACTGACTGGAAGA